GTGCCAATTGGGAGCCTCCAACCCCACTCCAGCAACACCAAAACACAAAACAAAAAAAGAAAGAAAATGCTACAGAGATAAGCTGTTCTTCTGAAATCTTGTAATATTGTAAACGTGTGACATCTTATTATCTAGTTCTTACTCTGGAGAACCTGGCAGGCTACCAAAAGTATCCTGCCCACACGGCAGAGTCTGGCAAACTCCCCATGGCGTATTTAATATGACAAAAACCAGTAACAATGATGGGTCTCATTCTCCTGACTCTGAAAGAGCCTCGAATGTGGCACTTTTTAAAATCTCAGGGCCCAGGGGTATGGTACTGCCAGCAGGTCAATCTGTACCTGTGAAGTGAGTGTATCAGCAGCCTGATGGCACCTTCAGACTTCCAGATACCCCAAAATTGCTGCTGTGCCTTTGGCCAGACCCCAAAAACTTGGGGCAAAGTTTACCAAGAAAATAAATGCCCAAAAGTTAGGTATGTGGGAAACACACCCACCAACCACCTCCGGCTCAGCTATATAATTGGAGGCATGGCCTCTCTGGTTCCTGATTGAACTGTTTAATGGCCATGATCCCAGAGACTCAGAAACGAATCTTGGAAACCAGTGGCTTGTGTATCTGTTAGTCTACAGGGGGATATTTTGATAGTTCTAATGGGATGACACTCGAACTACACATACATAACTATATATATGAGGATATATTCCTAAAATTTTACAGTGTAAACCCTTGTAAATCAATAAGCTTTATTTCTAAAACATCACTGCTGGAATCTGGGCAATAGCTCATAGGGAGGGAGTACATGCTTGGCTGGGCTTCAATCCCCCGCCACTGGCATGGTCTCCTTTGCACTGCAGGAACATTTCCTGAGATTCCCTGAGCAAGTTATGAGAAGTTCCTGAGCCCGGCCCGCTGTAACCACCACCACCCCTCCAAAAAAAAAAAAAAACCCACACAGAAAACCCTTCTGGCATTAAATAGGGATTCAACACTATTACTTTTTCTCTTTTTCCTTCTCTTTCTTTCTCCTCTTTCTTTCTTTCTTTCTTTCTTTCTTTCTTTCTTTCTTTCTTATCTTACTTGTTCTTCCTTTCTTTCCTTCTCTCTCTCCCTCTCCCCCCCACTTTCTCTCTCTCTTTTAATTTTTTTTTTTTTTTTTTGCGTCACACCCGGCGAAGCACAGGGGTTACTCCTGGCTCTGCACTCAGGAGTTACTCCTGGCGGTGCTCAGGGGACCATAATGGACGCTGGGAATCGGACCCGGGTCGGCCGCGTGCAAGGCGCCCTACCCGCTGTGCTATCTCTCCAGCCCCTCCCTTTTAATTTTGAATCGTACTAGGCAGGGCTCAGAGCTTACTCCTGGGTCTGCACTCAGGAATCACCCCAGCTGCTGCTTGGGGAACCATATGGGATGCTGGGGATTGAACCTTGGTCAGCCGCCTGCAAGGGAAACACCCTAGCCACTGTACTAGTACTCCAGCCCTCCTCAACATTTTCCTTTATTCTTATAAAGTCAGATAATCTTGATCTTGTCATGATTTGTAAGCTATGACCTTGTTCTTAAAGGAAATACTTTCATTCTTTGAAATAGATGGGAGGGAACTCAGATGGCTCAAAATGTTTATATGTCATGAAGATATAAAACAATAGTGACAAAGAGAGCAACAATATGTGACTAGTAAATGTAGATGAAAATTCATTATGGGGCTGGAGCGATATTATAGCGGGTAGAGCGTTTGCCTTGCACACAGCCGACCTGGGTTCGATTCCCAGCATCCCCTGAGCACCGCCAGGAGTAACTCCTGAGTGCAAGGTCAGAAGTAGCCCCTGAGCATCGCTGGGTGTGGCCCAAAAAGAAAAAGAAAGAAAAAGAAAATTCATTGTGGATGAATGTGACTTACCTGCAGTTTACACAGTTTTCAAAATCAAGAGAAGAACAGAATGCTGAAATAGAGCAAAGGCAACACATGTGTCTGGAGACATTGACCATCACAGCACAGCACCGACAATAGGAGCAGAGAAGTAGTGAGGAGTCAGCAAGCAGTTCACAGGTTGCAGCACCTCAGGTTCAGGTCAAGAAGAGTGCTTGGGAGCTGGGAGTCAAGTTCTGGTTTGGTTTTTTTTCTCTTCCTTTCCTTTGCCGCTATTGTTCCGATGATGATTAGGAGTCACAAAGATCTCCCTTGGGGTCCAACTGGGGATTATACTCTTTAAATTTTGGGGCTTACATGTTTCTGGTTGCAGGGGGGTGATGGTGGGGTGACGGTTGCAGTGGGGTGGAGTGGGGTGATGGTGAGGGGTTAGGGGATCCTAGGAAGCAGAGCTGTAGGAATCGTGATCCAAGACGTGGCAGTATCTGAGACTGAACAGGCTTTAAATTGCAAGGCAGCATTTTTTTGCCCCTGAGAAGCTGGGGCAGGAAAGTTCTTTACATTTGCCTAGTCGGAGCTGCTCCCTGTCCACCATTATCCGAAGGTGATTCCCAACTCTGTTTCTCTCTTGGGGTGGGGGTGGGGGGGTAGTGGGGAAGAAAGATCAATGTAAATTCAGTGTTCTGCATGTTGGGGGCAGGGGCAGGGGAGGGGCAGACACACTGAAAGGCAGTTCCGACTCGGTGCTAATAAGGGGGATTCTGAGATAGAGCTGCAGTACAGCTCGAGGGCACAGCTGACCCTGGGGCAATCCTTGGCATCTCATAGGATCCCCCAAACATACTCCCAGCATGGTCAGGAGTGATTCCTGAGCACAGGGCCTGGAGTAACCCCTGAGCATCACTGGGTGTAGCCTCCAAAGAAACAAACAAACAAAAAACAAAGAGAGAGAAAGAAGGAAAGAAGGAAGGAATGGAGGGAAGGAGGGAAAGATAGAAAGGTGAAAGAAAAAGAACAAAAGAAAGGGAGAGAGAAAAAGAAAAAGAGAAAAAAGTGAAAGAGGGAGAGAGGGAGGGACGGAGGGAGGGACGGAGGAAGGAAGGAAGGAAGGAAGGAAGGAAGGAAGGAAGGAAGGAAGGAAGGAAGGAAGGAAGAGAAGAGGGTGGGAGGGAGAGGGGGTGGAAGGGAGGAAGGTGAGAACAATGGTCTCCATAGGAGAGATAGCAATGCTGCAGACAGACACTAGAGGGAGACCTGTGCTCCAAAAGAGAGGCCAGAGGAAACCTTTTATTTTGCTTTGTTTTGTGTGGGGGCCACCCCTGGAAGTGCTATGCACAGTGCTCAGGAGACCTTATGAAGTGGCTGGATCAGGAAGATGCAAAGCAAGCACTTTAACCCCAACTCTCTGGCCCTGAGTGTATCAGCCCAGACCAGACGCCCCCCTCAAGAAAGTTGGAGAGATAGTCAATCTCTAGCCACACTGGTCATTTTTTCCCCCCAAATACCCAAATCTTAACAAATATGCATAAAGCATACAAAGACACAGGGAAACATGGTTAAGTCAGGAGAACAAGAACAAAAATTTAAACTAGGAGCTGGGAAGCTGACTCAAAGGGCAGGGGTATGTGCTTTACATGCAAGATCCATGGGTTCAATTTTCAATGCCCTATGAGACCACAAGCATTGCCAGGAGTAGTTCCCAAATACTCCTAGAGTAGTGCCCAAACCAACATTAAAAAATTAAAATGACAGAATATTCAAACAACTTTGAAAAATAAGCAGAAATTTGGAGGACTTTATATCCTAATTTCAAGACTTGTCATTAAATTACGGTAGTATATGAATAGCGCTATGTATGTACATGTAAAACACTCATTATATATTCAACATCATTATGCCATATGTAAATGAAACAGAAGAAAGTCCAGAAGAAGACCAAGCACATATGGTCAGTTCTATTTCTGAAAAGATGTTTATTCAATTCGGTCAGAAAAGGAGAGTTTAAAAATTGACTTTTAATGATTTGTTTACTTGTTGTGGTGCCAAGGATCAAACCCAGAGCCTCAGTCACACCTGCAAGGCAAGTGCTCAACTGCTGAGCTACAAGCCTGGCTTAGTTTTTGAAAAGTGATGCTGGAACAATATGCTATTCATATGCAAATACAAAGAAATCAAGACCGAAAAGAGAGGGAGGGAGGGAAGAGGAGGCTATTTTTAATAATCATAAATGAATATTGCATTTTGTAAAAATAACACTTTCTCTGCATCTCTTGACATAATCATATGATTTTTATCATTCCTTTTGTTGATGTGGCATAACCTATTAATTGGTTTGCATGTGTTGAGCAATATTTGCATTCCTGGACAAATCTCACTGGATAGCTCAGGTTTTGCTTACTACCATTCTTCTCTCAGCTCCAATGTTGTGTCTTTTTTAGCCCAGTTACTTTCTATATTCTTTAAGTTGTTCATTTGCATTCATCTCTCTCTTCTGGGGCTCAGTTATTGGTATTTTTTTGAAAAAAAACTATTCTCATCTATTAATAATTTAGTGAGAAACATTCTGTTGCTAACCTCTAGTCTACTACATTTTCATGTTTATTAATTTTTATTTGTTTGTTTGGGGGCCACACCCTGCAGTGTTTGGGGTTTACTCCTGGCTCTGCACTTGGAGATCACTCTTGGCTGGGCTCTGGGGATTATATGTGGTGCTGGGGATTAAATCCTGGTCAGCCATGTGCAAGGCAAACACCCTATCCACTGTACTATGGCTCTGGCCTCATCTTGTTAATTCATTATTGTCTCCTCTTTGTACACAAAACACTTCTCAAGTCTAGGGATTTTTGTTTAAACAATACTTGGGTGTTTCCAAGTGTCCAGAAAACTGTCTCAAACACACATACATTTTTGTGGAATTTAGTTGAATTTTGACTCTTGCCTTTTATATACAATGTAATAGCAGTGACTTTTTTTTTTTTGTCATGGAAAAGCAAAGTATAAAGCATCTTAATTGATAATGAGAATATTTTTTCTAAGCATAAAGATATTAACAGAAAATAGGATGAAGACTGTCACTCAGTGGTAGAATAATTACCCTGCTAGTATGGGGTCGTGGATCTGATATTGAATTATAACCAAAAAAAGTCAAAAGAGACTGAAACAAGAGAGATCAAAAAGTGTTACAGAAAATAAGTGTCAGTACATAAAAGACATTATAAAAAAGTCAAACTTCAAAAGAACTTAAATTGCAACATATTCAACAAATGTGGTAGTATATAACTAATAAATAAAATAATTTCTTACAAATCAGTAATAGAAATGATCATACAAATATAAAAATGAACGAAGTGAAAAATCATTCAAAAAAGAAACACAACTCACCTAAATATATATTTATATACACCAATGAACAATTTGAATGCAAATTCAAGCCACACTATGTCATTTTCCCTATCAAAAATAAAAAGTTCTATTTGACATAGTCAATAGTCTTGAAATTCTACTTCTAAGACCCGTATTCCAAATAACTAGGGAGTTGTATAAACGCATATGTTTAAGGATGTTTACTACAGCGGTATTTATAAAAACAAAAATTCTACAACAGAGACAGGCTTAAATAAAGTATAGAGCAGTCATAACATGGAATATTGTTGAGATTGATAAAAATAACCTTTCTGCAATATACTCAATGATAAAGGGAAATAAATGCTTAAATCATTAAGTTCAAGGATTAAAAAAAAATCCAAAACATAAAACTGTGCATTGGGCTGGACTCCCAGGCTTCAAATACAAATGTAGAACTACAAATTTAAAAATGACTAAAAGAAAAAATAATAATGTTAACACATAATTTTCATGTATTAAGATGGAAAATCTTATTTTCTCATTTTTTTCTGTACTTTTCAATTTTAGCAAAATTATTAGGCATTGCTTTCACATTGAGAAGTAATAAATAAATGTCAATAATAATAACAAAAATAGAAAATAAAGATAAAAGGAGTTTCAAAGATACAAAAGTAAGCACAGAATGTCCACTTTGTTTTATAAATGACCAAAAGCTCCAGCTAAGAGGTTCTTATTTCCAGCCGAAGCAGAGGTTGCATTTTTCCCTTGACAGGATTTGCACAGAGGATCCACTGCAGTGTACCTGATGAGGAAGCCTCCTGCCGTCACGGAAGCATCACTTAGAAACTTCAAGGTCATGACATTTCCTGGTGAGGAAGGAGATCACAGAAGATCACAAAAGATGTGACTGTCCTTTCATTTGGTTGACAATTTAGACTCATCACTCTCATTTATAGGAGGATATGAAACTTTAGGAAACAAGTCTCCTATACCCCAGAACTAGATTTTTAAGTTGGAAAGTCTGAGTTCATTGCATATATATATATATATATATATATATATATATATATATTGGGGGGGCAGTGGGGTTGAGCCACATCCAATAGTGCTTGGGGTGGCTTCCTGCTCCATGCTTGGTGATCATTCCTGAAGGTACTCTGGGAACCATGTGGGGTGCTAGGGATCAAGCCAGACTTATCTGCATGCAAGGCAAATGACTTTAGCCTGCACTATTTATCCATATATGACTGTCATATTTTTAGTTCTGACCCTCTAATCTCTTCAGCAAGAAATTTTGTGTCAACTTTATAAACATGTTAGTGATAGATATCCTATAGAATGTCTTAACGGCTCCTGCCAAAATAGAACAATCTTCACACTGTTTTCTATATGAACACTTTTTTGTAAGCATGTTCAGCGGTTCTTCATAACAGACAATACGAAATATATTATTTCGGTTGTGTTTTGCCACAGGGATTGGGGCTAGGGATGGAAACATCCCGAATTTGGTGGTAGAAGGTGTAATGGTGGTGAGATTGGTGTTTGAATATTAAATGTAATCAAATATTGTGAACTAACATATAAAATTTTAAAAATTTTAAAAAAAAAGAAATTTTGTGTTATCTGTTTTTTGTTGCTTTTGGTCTTTGGCTTTGGGGCCACACCCAGCAATGCTTAGGACCAGCTTTGCACTCAGGGATCACTCTTGGAAGTTCCTGGGGACTGTATGGGGTGCGAGGAATGGAATCGGGTTGACTGTGTGCAAAGTGAATGGCCTACTGGTGGTACGATTGCTCCAGCCTTCTGTGTCATCTGTTTTAAAAGATATTCCTTATAGAATGACTATCTGCCAGTACTCAGGGGACCCTGCAATGCCAGCAATGGAACCTGGGGCTCCCATATGCAATGCATGCACTATGTCCTTCAAAGTGGCCGGGGAAAGGACTTTTTAATGCTGACCCCAATCCCGGAATTAATTTCAGATACTCTCTTCTCACCCCATATTGAATGTCATTAACATTGTACAGCTTTTAGTGCTTTCATATAATTAGCTCATGATTCCCTCACAGCAACACTATTAGATGGATACTATTTATACATTTCATTTTACAAATTCAGTGCTCAAGACCTCTTAGTAGTCGGCTCAAGGCTACAGAGCTTAAGTGGTAGAGACTAACCAATCTAATCTACTACACGTTTTCTAGACTTAAAAAAGTTTCCTATATTAATACAAAAAGCCTTTTTCACCTGATAAAAGAAATCAGAGTTAACGAGCAAGAAACAAACTGATAAAAATTTGGACTAGTATTAGGGCTAAAGTTAGAGAGACACTATAGGGATAAGGTGCTTGCCTTGAATGAGACCAACTTTGGTCTGATCTCTGGCACTACATATGGTCCCCCAAGCACTTCAGGAGTGATCTGTGACCAGAGAGCTAGGAGTAAGCCCTGAGCACTGCCAGGTGTGGCTCAAACATGTTACTACCACCCAAAAGAAACTAGGGCTCCTCTCTCTAATATGCGAAGAGCTGCTAGAAGAAGAAAATGGACAATTCTGTTGTGTAAAGTAGAAAAGCTGGAATTCTCAGGGACCAATAGGATAAATGAGTACATAAATGCAAAAAAGGGGGCAGAGACAGCTCATGAGCTGCCTTGCAAGTATGAAGCCTCCAGTTTGGGGATGGTCTTTGAAGCCCCCGGCACTGCTAGGTCCTGAGCAGCATTGCTACAGTATTGCTCAACATTACCGGGTAATAATAAAAAAGATGGCACGCCAGGGCCAGTGCTAATTTGGTATTATCTATCAATACTTAAAATCCCTCTAGAGCCCCAAAGTTCACATCTAGAAATCTACCCTCATTAAAAAAAAATAGCACAACAGCGTAATGACAAAGTTATTATAACAATGTCCAATGGAACACTGAAAGTGAAAGCAAAAAAAAAAATCAGAGACAAATCTTATCAGGACATTAAATGTCAGTACATGACATTATGGTATATCAATACAATGTTCTATCAGGAAGGTATTGAGAAAAATTAGAAATATCAAATAATCTACTGTGACTTGGAAATCTTTCCACAGTCTTCATGGTATCTAATGTCTGCCTAATACAGAAAAGCACCTGAAGGGAAGGCACAACCTCTCATGCCTTTCTGAAATGTGCAGATATGAGGAGAGTGACCATAATCTCCTTCCACATACTGTTTATGAATGTGGTAGACATAAGCGGAATTTCATTGTTAATATATGGGTAAACACATATTTATGAAAAAATAGACAAAAATGTTAAAAATACTATGATAGATTACATATTAAATATTTTTATTCCTTTTTTTTTCCCTTTTGCATCACACCCGGCATTGCACAGGGTTTATTCTTGGCTCATGAATTTAGGAATTACTCCTGGTGGTCTTGGGGGACCATGTGGGATGCTGGGAATCGAACCTGGATTGGCTGCCTGCAAGGCAAATGCCCTACCCGCTGCGCTACCACTCCAGCCCCAATATTTTTATTACTTTTATTGTGTTTTTTTAAAATTAGGGGTCCTCCAGTGATAGGGGCTCAGGGGCCCCTTGCAGCAATATTTGGCCAGTTGGACTGGTGGTTCTGGAAGTACTTGGAGGGCCTGAAGATAGGGTACTCTCTGGGTCTGGGATGCAGATTGGTCCCAGAGGTACTGGAAAATGCCAGCTTCAGGAGGTACAAACTGGGGAAGCTCAGGAGGGCATGCAGTACCAGGGACCAAACGGAAGCTGATGCATATAAGATCTGGACCTGAATATACAAAATACTGGTTAAACTCCACAAGAAGAAAACATCCAACCCCATCCAAAAATGGGGCAATGAAATGAACAGAAACTTTCTCAAAGAAGAAATCCGAATGGCAAAAAAGCACATGAGAAAATGCTCTACATCATTAATCATCAGGGAGATGCAGATCAAAACCACAATGAGATACCATCTCACACCTCAGAGACTGGCCCACATTCAAAAGAACAAAAGCAACCGATGCTGGCGTGGATGTGGCGAGAAAGGGACACTCCTTCACTGTTGGTGGGAATGTCCACTGGTTCAGCCCTTCTGGAAAACAGTATGGACGATTCTCAAAAAATTAGAAATTGAGCTCCCATTTGACCCAGCAATACCACTCCTGGGAATATATCCCAGAGAGGCAAAAATGTATAGTCGAAGTGACATCTGCACTTGTTTGTTCATTGCAGCCCTCTTTACAATAGCCAGAAACTGGAAGAAACCTGAATGCCCAAGAACAGATGACTGGTTAAAGAAACTTTGGTACATCTACACAATGGAGTACTATGTAGCTCTTAGAAAAGATGAAGTCATGAAATTTACATACAAGTGGTACAATATGGAAAGTATCATGCTAAGCGAAATGAGTCAGAAAGAGAGGGATAGACATAGAAAGATTGCATTCATCTGGGGGATATAAAGTAACAAAGTATGAGATTAATACCCAAGAATAGCTGAGATCAGCACCAGGAGGATTACTCCATAACTTAGAGGCCAGCCGGGTATCCTAGAGGAAAGGGCTATTCAGATAGAGAAGGGAGCACCAAATAAAGGATGTTTGGAGGATCCTCCCAGGAGGGGAGATGCATGTCGAAAGTAGACTATGGACTGAACATGTTTGCCACTCAATGCCTCTTTTGCAGACCACAACACCCAAAAGGAGAGAGAGAACACAGGGGATTGCCCTGCCACAGAGACGGGGGGATGGGGGGATGGGGGTGGGAGGGATATTATCCATGGTGGTGGAAAATGGGCACTGGTGGAGGGATGGGTATCTGATCATTGTATAATTGAAACCAAAGCACAAAAAATTGTAAATCTACAACTTTAAAAAAAAATAAAATAAAATAAAGGGGGGAAAAAAAAAAAAAAAAAAAAAGATCTGGACCTGAAAGCCTGTACATCTCCCAGCTCTTACACTAAACTTATTTTTTTGAATTTCAGTTTTACATGAATCAATTTTCTCATCCTGTTATTTTGCTGTCTTTAACTTTGAATTTAATTATGTTCTTTTCATCTAGTTCTCTTTGAATAATATAGTTTAATATAGTGTTTTGTTGGTGGTGGTGTTTTGGTGCCAGAAAGGAACGAGTTTTTTAAAGTATGCACACTAAGCATTTAAAGTATGGCATTTAATAGCAGAAATCCAAAACCAACATTTAATTCTTGAACCCGGCTGTAGAAAGCAAATCACTTCAAAATGCTTTTTCAGCATGTCTGATTTGGGGGGGGGTAAACTCTAAATAATAGTGGTGAATCTTTTATTGAAACAATGAATCTAATCAAAGCAGATAGAGTGTTAACTAGAATTCATCTGCCTCACAGGGACGGGGAGGGGTGGGGGGTGGGGTTTTATTGGGGTTCTTCATGGTAAAAAATAAGTATTGGTAAAGGGAAATGTGTTTGATATTTGCATGACTGAGACATAAACCTGAAAGCTTTGTAACCTTTCCCACAGTGATTCAATAAATAAATTAAAAAAAAAAAAAGTATGGCATTTAAAGTATTCACACTAACCCTGAGAACATCCTTGACCTATGGGATTTTCTTCTAAGCTCCTTGCAATTGTGCAAGAAAATCAGCGATTTCATGATGATTGGGGTTTGTTTTATCTATTTTGGACATGTAAGAAAGAAAATGTCAAGTTTCAGGTTTTCTTTCGATTTTCCCCCTTGAAAAAATTAGATAGTCATCCCTCATTTCCTCCTACATCTCTTAAGACGTCTTTTTACTGTCAGTGACACAAAATACATTCTCAAGAAAAAGATAAGAAAGAAACAAAAGACTAGATCACCCTTCCTGAGGAGATTATAACGTTGTAATAAACTATGCGTTTCAAGCACTAATCATCCTAGGATTGAAAATAATATTTCATCTCTTGTAATTATGACTAATAGTTGAAAATTGATTGCTAGGCTAGGTAAGAGTCATTTGAGATTAAAGGCCATTTAGACATAGCAACTCATTGTAGCTTTATTGTTTTTATTGTAGAAGTATTCTGGTAATTTTATGACTTGGAGAGAAAGAGGGCATGTAAGAATGGCAGCTGTGAGTACTAGTGATGGAAAAAAAAAAAGGAGGAGAAGAAAAAGACCACGTCTAAGAAAGTAAAAGCTATTGTCCAGAATAGGTGTTTGGAGGAAAAGTGGTACTGTTCATTGAGATAAATTTATGCTTTTAAGAGTCTCCGAAAGTCTACGTATTTCATAGAACAAAGATACAAAAATTATTTGCTGTGGGGTAGGTAGAGCTGGGGGAAGACTTGGAAAACTTTGCCCTTTCCAGCTGCTCTTTTGAGATTTACCAAGAGAAATTAGCATACTAAAGCTCTCTGGCAGCCAGTAATAAAGAAACCTGTTTAACATTACTTAACCAAATTTTCCCCCAATTTACATGACCCTAGAGCCCTTTTCATGGAACATTTATTAAAATTATCTTAAATTTATTAAAATTATCTTAAAGAACTATGTTCTTCTCAAAACTCTAGGGGATCCTCTACTAAGATAAAAATGTGATGAACATGATTTAAAATTTTTTTTCGTGACAGATCATTTTAACAACTTTATAATTTACTTCAATTCTCTGAATTACTTCAATCAATAAAAAAATAGCCTTTTTATTACCACATTTTATGGAAATCGTATTCATGGATTTGTGGATATAAGAATACTCACGCTACATTTCCTAAAAATATTATGAATCTACACAAAGCACCAACTTTGATAATATCTTCTTTAAGTAGAAATAAATTACTGTATTTTTCAAACTATATTTCTCTTCAATTTTCTCAACTTCAAAACAGTGAATAATAATGACTACTGAATGAATCACTTTCACTGACAGATCACAAACTTGTTCTTCATTGTATAACAATTACCTGTGCTAACGATGTCTTCTGGAAGCTCATCTCCACAGTACCTGGAAATATTTAAAAAGAGAAAATGAATATTATGCAGCTATTACAATTAGTTCTTTGTGACAACTAAAGTAATTTATTTCCCCTTAGCCATTGCTAAATTTCCTATTATTTTCAATTTTTTTCTTCCTCCCTCCCCTCCGTCCTTCCTTCCCTCCCTCCGTCCTTCCCTCCCTCCCTCCCTCCTTCCCTCCTTCCTTCTTTCTTTCCTTCCTTCCTTCCGGTCTTTTTTTCCCCTTTCTTTTTTTTTTGCTTTCCTCAGTGGTGTTCAGGTCTTACCCCTGATTCTGTGTTCAGGAATCACTCCTGGCATTTCTCAGAGATCCATATGGGAATCCAGATATTGAACTGGGGTTGGTCATGTGCATGGCAAGTGATTTAACCCATATTTAACCCATATATATGTGTATATACATATATATATATATATATATCCGGTCCCCTTTATTTCACTTTCTTAATTTGATCTTATAAAGAAGAGGGTTAATACAAAGGCTGCTGTTTAAGATACCCTCATAGTATTAATGAGATACTCAAGAAAAATGATGAGGCATTGTGATATACATTTAGAATCAGAAAAAAAGTGCTTCTTATTAAATAGTTTTTTCCCCCTCAACATTAAAGAAGAATTGGTGGTATTAATAACTTTGAATCCTACAATACATTAATTCAAACATGAAAAGTATGTTGGAACATTGGGACATACAGTCATAATAGGGTTTGACTTTTATCTGAATCATGGACTTAAAAAGAACTATCTAGCATAGTCTGTAAAAACTGAGGGTTTTGTCAATTTCTAAAAGTGTAATTTATTCCAGAAAGGCCGAAAGTCTATTATATACATAAATCACTCAATATGTATCCGATAACTAGCTTTTCAAATTGCTTAAAAAATAATTTCGATCCTTTCGGAATTATTGATCTTTGGAAACAGTTTTAGAATAAAAACATCATTTTCGTTCCTGAGATTGGTTGCTTGTTCTCTCAGAAAATACTTGTTCTCAATTTCTCCATCCCTACTTCATATGTTCTTCTATTTAAAAAAAATTTGCAGTTTTTCTATAATAGTGGCCAGTTAGAGAATAAAATGAACAAAAAAACACTTTGCCTCTAAAAAATATTCATGGGGCCAAAGAGATAGTACAGCCAAAAAGGAGCTGGCCGTGGGGTTGAATTTCTGAAGCCCTAGATGGTCTCCCCGGTCCTCTCAGGAGTGATCCCTGAGGACAGAGCCTGGATTAATCCCTGAGAACTGCTGGGTGTGACCCAAAAAACAAAAAATTGTTTAGTATTATTGTTCATTGATGCAAGAAATGCCTCTGCTTTTCTTTGTACTTAAATTACAAAATAAAATAAAAAGTTATTAAGTTTGACATGCATAATTGTCCCCGTTATTATTTTCTTTCAGTAAATTGCTTGTAGAGAGAATAGAGAAAAAATGGCAGCATATTGGTTATGGTCAGTCCAAAATATGCTTTAAATGGGCCCCTGACTATGTAAAAATCCATACTATATGTACACATCAGTGAGCAATGTTTTGTAAGACACTCAAAATTTAAACTGTACTAAAGATTTAGAATGGAGACACAGATATTATGTTCCAGTCTGTTGAAAGATGAAGGATGTAAATTTAAGGAAAGGAGTGTTTACTTTTCATGGCAAAGAAAGCTGTTTTCCTGAAGATAGTCATTATTTGCTTAGCTAAATTGGATGCTAAAAAAGAACTTATTCGCTTTACATTATTCATGCTTAGTGTAGTGCAGAGAGGGAAATTAACAATTGTAGAGTTAATAATAATTTTACAGAGATTGACAGAAATTATAGCATTTCAAAACTTCCAACAAACTTCCTACTTTCTAATTTTTCCTTTTCTTAGTTAAATACTGAGGTCTATCTACTTATTTAAGCTCTTTAACTAAAACTTGTAATTTAACTACCATGCAAAGGCAGCTGAAAGATAGGGTACCCCCAGATATCTAACAAAGACCTTTCTATCATGGCCAGCACAGGCTGCTTCCAGTTTGCTCCACTGCAGCCTTTGAAGCTAAGGACAATGGCAATGTGAAGAGAAACTGTTACCATTGGGGCTGGAGCACAGTATTGTGTGTAAACAAACAAACGAACAAAAAAACCCGAAACTGTTACCATTGCCTCAAGTAGAAAAATGAAAATGCACAATTGAAGGTCATTTCCAGAGAGTTGTTTTTTGTTATTTGGTTTGGGGGCTACACTGGTGGTGCTCAGGGCTAACTCCTTTCTTTGTGCTCAGGGATCATGTCTGGCAGTGCTCAGTTTCGTGTATGGTGCTGGGGATCCAACAGAGGTCAGTGGCATGTACAAAGCAAGCACATTAACCTTTGCATTAACTCTCTGGCCTGGAAATAACCTTTTTGCTGGAGAAACCTATTTTGTATTACAAATGTCATATGAGCCTCCATTTCTTTGACATGCAAGTCTCATTCTTGTCTGATGTCTAAGCTTATCTTAATTCATTAGCTCAAGACTTAGCTTCCATCAGTCGTTTGAATTTGTAGCACTTTTCATCGATTTGCTTGAGCGGGCCCAGTAACATCTCCAGTGTGAGACTTGTTGTTACTGTGTTTGGCATATCAAATACGTCACGGGTAGCTTGCCAGGGTTTGCTGTGCGGGCGAGATACTCTCGGTAGCGTGCCAGGCTCTCCGAGAGGGGCAGAGGAATCGAACTCGGGTCAGCCTGGTCGGCCGTGTGCAAGGCAAACGCCCTATCCATTGTGCTATCAGTAGTCATATAAAATTTCTATACCTATATAATTCAATGTATCCCCCGCCCCCCATAAATCGGTCTGATGTTCATTTATTTGCTGAGTCAACCCACTATAAAGGAACTCAGAGGGACAGGGGGTATTTCCTCTTGTACCCCTACATAGGAGCCACTATTTTAATGCTATTTACATGTAGTAACTGATTATTTCTTAACATGCTAAGGAAAATAGTAGTAGGCTGGGGAGATAGTACCCGGAAATTGGCCCAGGCATGTGCCCTACTGGGGTTCAATCCCAACACCACCAGTATTGCAGAGGTGACCCTGGGGTTCACATAGTGACCCAAAGCAGTGCACGCTTTGACCCCAGTACCAAACAGCTGGCCTGATTGGCCCAGTGTTGTTAGGGACGAATGGGTTTTAAACATCACCGGGGAGGTCCCTAGCCCCTAAAAAGAACAGGGACCAAAGTTGTAGGGGCCAGTAGAGCACTTGCCTTGCCCAGTTTCCCTGTACTAGCGCCCTAACCTACCTCTATGTCTTTTTTTCTTTTTGGGTCACACCCAGCGATGCTCAGGGGTTACTCTTGGCTCTGTGCTCAGGAATTACTCCTGGCAGTGCTCAGGGGACCATATGGGATGCTGGGAATCCAATCCAGGTCAGCCATGTGCAAGGCAAACACCCTACCTGCTGTGCTATCACTCCAGCCCCCTCTATGTTTTTTTAACATGTTAAATAATAACATGTAAGGCCCTGGTTTCAATCCTCAGCACTACAAAAATAAACAAACTACAAACCAGATAGAATTTATTCTCCCATGCAAGAGAGTAGAAATAGTAGAAAATCAATACTAAAAAGACAGTTGAGGGAAAAGCTACAGAAACTTCAAACAAAATATTGCATGTGTCTTTAACTTCTTGTTTGGAAGAACAACGCATACCTTCCCACAAAGCCATGAACATCATCATAACTGTCATATATTTCAACATAGTCAGCCAAGCAACCTGGGTCATCTTCAAGGTCAAATTGCAAAAAACTCAGATGAATACGCTGGCCGTACTTGAGTCTAATGTGCCAGTAGCATACTTGGTTATCATCATACTCATTTGGGAAGCCTGGGGATTTAAAAATCCGCTTTGGCTCTGTAAAGACACCACCACATTCCTTTGCTGAAATGGAAAAAAAGAAAAGAAACCATTAAAAAAATTATTCCTACATTAAAATGTTATTCACATCTTGGTGTGGATTTGTTTATATGTGGATCTACTACACTTTGTTAGTAGCAGATAAATGGCTTAATACAGATTAACTTATATTTTATAATTATAACATATTATATGAATATACTTACATACTACAATTAATATACTATATTATATCATATATAGCTTGTATACTATACACTTATTAATGATATCTATACTGTATTGTATATGATTATTGCATACTAGCCTAAAGTTAGACACTATATGAATACACTGAATATACTATAATATATTCATGTAATTACAGACGAATAAATATACTTTTCAACAATAGTTCCAAAGTTCTCTTATATAACCATAGACTACTTGTGACTTTTTTTTTTTTGGGTCACACCAGGTGATGCTCAGAGGTTACTCCTGGCTCTGCACTCAGGAATTACTCCTGGAAGTGCTCAGGGGACCATATGGGATGCTGGGAATCGAACCTGGATCTGCCGCACGCAAGGCAAACACCCTACCTGCTGTGCTATCACTCCAGCCCCTACTTGTGACTTTTTTAAAGTAGCAAGAAAAAATAATAATTTAGAGTCCAGAGTGATGGTATAGCAGGTAGAGCTCTTCCCTTGCATGCTGGAGATCTGGGCTTGATCCCTGGGATCCCATATTGTTCTCTGAGCACTGCCAGGAGTAATTTGAGAGTGCAGAAACAGGAATCACCCCTGAGTATTGCTTGGTCTGGCCCCAAAACCAAACATTCCTCCTACCCCCCGCTAAAACACAATAGCTGGCAGCATCATTTTATTGTTTTAACTAACTGTAATCAGTTATGACCCAACACAACAACTTTCTGATTACGATATTACCTGGCTCAAAAAAGGTCAGAATTACTTGAATTTGTGATCCTACCAGCCTGCAAATTATTGGCTATGTGATTTTGAGTAAGCTACCTGGCTGGGTAAGCTTTTAATGTTCAGCTTCCTGATTTCTAGGCAGCGTACAATAATAGCTTCTTATAGTGTTATAAATATTTATTAAGAGTATAGATAAAATAGTTCAGGTTGGGTAGAGCATAATCACTCTATAAAGAGAGTTATTAATTGTTAGAGAATTGACTTATCTCTGAAAGAAAAGTCACTTCTTTTCAAAGTAGCATAAACCTTTTTTTTATTTATTTGGGGGCCATAACCAGCTTGCCGCTAGTGGTCTGGGACTGTGTGGTACCAGGGATCAAATCTGAGCCCCCTGCAGGTAAAGTATATACTCCAGACCTTTTAACTGTCTTCCCAGCTAAAAACTCTTATTTTGAACGAACCATGTGGATTGTAACAATAGGCATCCCATCTTTCACTCCTATTGAGACGGACTCCGTAATCGATGATACCAGTTTTTCCAAATCCACAGTTGAGTCCTGGCTTCACAATGGGGTATCCAACTCTACCTTTGGCCATCCACCCAGCAGCACAGACATGAAATCCTGCAAGAGAACAAAAAAAAAAAAGGTTACGTGCTTAACTTACACTCCCTCTCCTTAATAAAGATGGACTCTACAATAGGAAATTCTTGACTATCCAAATGTAATTCATGTAAAGAAGGACGGGAAAAGTGTTCTGAAAAAAGAAGTAAAGTTCAAATTATATAAAATATTGTATCTGAATTTTATCGGAAAAACTTTTAATTAAAAAACTAAGGTGGAAGTGGACTAGACATGAAAATACCATGTATACGAAAACACAACAAACTCAGAACTGACTTCTTTTCACAAATGACATCTCTAGTATTCTATATAATTTCTGGACTTACCATCAGTACTAAGAAAAAATGCAAGTGGTAATGTTTGAGTTAATGTTTATTTCAGGATCCATTAAGCTATTCCTAACATAAGGTTGGATAGGGTAAAAATACAAATTTTGAACAAAGTTTCTGCCCTCTTTTCCCTGATCATTTTTATTTATTTTTTTGATTTTTGGATTATACCTGGCAATGCACAAGGGTTACTCCTGGCTCCACATTCAGGAATTACTCCTGGCGGTGCTCAGGGGACCATATGGGATGCTGGGAATTGAACATGGGTCAATTCAAACACCCTACCAGCTGTGCTCCAAACCCTCCCTGATCATTCTTAGAGACCGTTTTTAACATTAGTTAATTCCAGCAAAGAGATTTTATGAGAAATCTAGAGTTAGTAAGGAAGTCACTGGCCCTGTATCAATCATTCTGGCCACTGCATCTACAGCTATGTGAATATAAGCTGAACAGTCATTTGGGATAACTTTGGTTCAAGAGAACACCTTAATTTTTGTCTTGCATAATGTATTACAATAACATAAGTTATTTCCCCATCAGCCAAAGGGAATATCTTTAATAGAGAAGGAAATTACAAATGCGTTGGGGATAATTTTTTGATTATCCTGAAAGTTCAGGAAAAATGGTTGGCAGTCCACTTTTATTTATTTTTTAAATAAAGAAGTAAGTAGCACTGATTAATTACTGGGTTTGTTACTAGGTTCACCCCCCTTCCCCCAGCATACCACCATTATACAACCTTGAAGCTTGAAGTTTTTTATGCAAAAGGGTACTCAAAAAAAGTGGAATTTGGGGGATAACTACCAAATTAAAAAATCTACGGTCAAGTGGATTTTTTTTTTTTTTTGGTAAGGCTCAACACATCAGAGTCAATTAGCAGCTGAGAAACCTCATTCTCAAGGGTCAAGAAAACAAGAGATAATATTTAAAACACACAGCAATGGCAAAATGAGTGAGGAATTTAAAGGCCATTGAACTAGAGATACATTTATTTTCTGTTGACTTATACGATTAGTCCAGTGAGTTGTGACCTCAGATAAGTTAGTACTTTCCTCAAGTCAAGCATTTGGCAAAAAAAAAAAAAAAAAAAAGTCGAAGAGCAGGTGTGATTTTAGACAACTCTAAAGAAAGACTTAAAAAGAGAAAAGTTTCATTAAGTGATTGCCGCAAAGGTGGATTTTTTCCTACCAAGGATGAAAAAGAATGAAAAAAAATCATCACCAAATCAATTACCAATTTTCCTGGCTGCCTCTAGCTGCTTGTAGGTGGCAAGCCGTCCTCCTTCATATTGGCACACCGTTTTGGCTTCTGCGTAGGTGAGCTTGTACTTGCCAGAGCGCGCTTCTCTGTGGTACACACCCGCTGCTCTCTCTGTGAATTCACAAATTGTGGTGAGTGAATGCGCATCTGTTCTTGTGAACAAGAGAAATGTGTGGTCTGGCTGGAAGATTGCGTCAGCGATTCTTTCCGTGAAAGGGTTTCCTGGATGGGTCTGCCAGGCTGAGTTTTCATTGTTAGAAAGCTTTGGAGAAAGAAGTGAGGGGGTTTTAGGAAAATCTGGAGACTAAGTTATATTTCTGAACTAATGGGCTGGAACAAAGTTTCAGTAAGACACTGTGGTTCTACATTTTTGAAAAGTGATAAAGTTTGACTTTTTAATTTTTTTGGCTTAGTAAAAGCCATTGGTAAAAAATAACCAATGGCAGAGAAAAGGGTGATAAAGGCCCCCTCCCCCCCAAAAAAAACCAGTGATAATTTAACCATCATATGATTTGACAATGATTGAGGAAAACACCAAAATACCTCGCTGAGAGAAATAACTAATGCAACATCATTGAGAATTTAGTAAACAGATGGAAAAAAAAAAAGAGAAACAATTTGAAGGAATCCAAAACAAATCTTGCACTGAGAAAGAAAAACAGATTCAAATGTTGCAGAGAAAAAAAATTGGGCACATTTACCTTCCAGTTCCTAAATTCTTTATTTGGTTTGTCTTTTTAGTTCGCATGTTGTTCCCAACATTTTTTAGAAGGTGTTAAGTCATAAATGAGTTGTCTTTATTAGATTATTGCTTAAATAGATGTTTGGAGTCTATTTTTCTCAAGGAGCAATGGAAAAGGATTCTCAGTAACATGAACTCTATTTAGACTGTTAAGTGATACTCTTACCCTTGACCCCTGCACTCAGCCACACCATTTCCAAAGTGAATTCCTTAATCTGCAGCCAGACTTGAATCTCACAGCACTGGGAATCATGTTTCTTGCTTTGCTTCCCGAGCTAATACTGACACAGTAGTAAGGGGAGAAGCTTGGTGTTTCCTATCTTAAAAATTTTGCCCCCACAACAAGGATTATTTCATGTATCACCAAAATCTAACATTTTTACACAGGACCTTGATCAAGGTCATTTTTTCTCTTAAAAATCACCCATTGGGGCACTGGTGGAGGGATGGGTACTGGATCATTGTATAACTGAAACCCAAGCACAAAACTGTACCTCATGGTGTTTCACTAATAAAAATTAAAAAAAAAAATCACCCATTGAAGGTTGGAGTAATAGTACAGCAGGTAGAACATTTGCCTTGCACGTGGCCGACCCAGGTTTGATTCCCAGCATCCCATATGGTCCCTGGAGCACCAAACACTGTCCACTCTCCTCCCATTGTTCATCGATTTGTTCGAGCGGGCCCAGTAAAGTCTCCATTTTTAGAGTTGTTGTTACTGTGTTTGGCATATTGAATACGTCATGGGTAGCTTGCCAGGTTTTGCTGGGCAGGCAAGATACTCTCAGTAGCTTGCCAGGCTCTCTGAGAGGGGCAGAGGAGTTGAACCCGGCTCAGCCGGGCTGACTACGCGCAAGGCAAATGCCCTACCACTGTGCTATCGCTCTAGCCCTCCCTGGAGCACCCACAGGAGTAATTCCTGAGTGCAAAGCCAGGAGTAACCCCTGTGCATTGCCCAGTGTGACCCAAAAAGAAAAAAAAATCACCCACTGCCTATTAATATTTTGTTTCCCTAGACTAATTCATTAAAACTGAATGAAATATCTGTTTAACTATTCTTTTTTTGCAATTACTGACTTTTTAGTTTTTGTTTTTTGCCACCCCCAGCGATGCTCAGGGCTTACTCCTGGCTCTGCTCTCAGAGATCACTCCTTGGTGGGGCTCATAGTAACTTTCATACGGGATGGCAGGGATTGTAGCTGGGTGGACTGCATGTAAGGCTAGCACTCAACCTGCTGTACCACAGCTTTGGCCCCTTTGTGTCTGGTTTCTACCTCTGCTTTCGTAGCCATATTGTTTGGTTTGGGGTGGGGAGATAACCCAAAGGTCTGAGTTGAGTCCCCAGCACAGCAGGATAGGGAGTTTCCTTCTGTGTTGTTGGGTGTGGCTCCAAAACAAAACAAGACAAATAAGCAAACAAAAGAGGCTAAAGTTATATGACCTTGCATAAACCACCTTCTCAGCTGCGTCCTCAGCTGAAGTGGAAGTAACTGTAGCTGTTGGGGAATAACCATGCACTCAAACCCCTAAGTACAGCTTGTATCTAGCAGGAGCTTGTGGGAGCTTGTGGAGATGTGGCTCAGCAACACTAAGAACTCGCCTTGCAAACCTCCAGACTTGAGTTTAATTTATAGACCACCACCAAAGAAAAGCACTAACAAATAACCCAGGGCTAAAGAAATAACTTCAAGGCTAGAGCTCATGCTTTGTATACAAAATAACTAGACACACTGAGAGTCTCTATTCCTGCATGATTTCCTGAGTACTTCCTGGAGTGACCTTCAGCTCTGCACAGATGGGCAGCACTATCTCAATGCCTACCCACCCCCACCTCTGCACAATAAAGGTGATGTTATTTTTTTCCTCTCACCTTTTCCAGATTTGTAAGACAAATACTAAAAAGAATGACCTGCTCATACACACACACACACACACACACACACACACACACACACACACTTTACCCAAATGTTAATTCAAAGTGGGTGGGGTGGGAGGTAGAACATTTAAGGTCCTGTCTAGCAGAGCCTGACCATGCTCCATTCTGAGCATCACTAGGCCTTCTTAGCTTCACTGAAAATGGCTCTGGAGACTCTAGTACCACTATGGTGAACTTGGCAGTCCCCAGCACCTCAGCTCTGCATCCTCAAGCCCTATCACTGAACCACCTGGAGGGTGGGATTGCCCTTGGGCCACTTGAGCACTTACTAAGAGGAAAAACAAAAACAAAAAATCTAAAGAACCTAATATCAGGGAGTATGGTGCCGCTGCAGATCACTCTGTACCTGTGAGGTGAGTGCATCAGCAGCCTGATGATGCCTTCAGACTTCTACATACCCCAAAATTGCTGCTGTGTCTTTGGCTAGACCCCAACAACTTGGGGCCAAGTTCACCAAGAAATTAACAGCCAAAAGTTAGGTACGTGGGAGACACACCCACAAACCAACTCTGGCTCAGCTATATAATTGGAGGCAAGGCCTCTCTGGTTCCTGATCAAACTGCTTAACGGCCATGATCCCAGAAACTCAGAAATAAATCTCAGAACCCAGCGGCTTTTGGTAGAGATGCGTCCGGTCACCGGAGTAGGTTACCGGCACTGGGCCACCCCAGGTAGGAATAGTTTTCGTGCCTTAGCCTGTTCCCCCTGGCAGCTTGGTGTCTGCCATCCTCCAGAAGCCACTGGACAGTCAAGTTTGGGCCCGCAGTGCTGATACGCAGGGCCTCATGGGATGGGGGTGGAGCTGACCATTTCCTCCCCACCCCAACGAGACCCCAGTCATTGCCCATGAACGACCTTTCTGGCTCCTGATCAAGCTGCTTAATGGCCATGATCCCAGAGACCCAGGAACAAATCTCAGAACCCAGCAGGTTTTGGTAGAAATCACTCCAGATTTAATTGTTAAAATTTTTGAATTTCAAAATCACTTGGCCACTACTGTGGCCATGTGACATCATATGTTATTTATAATCAGCAATAGAAAACAAATTGTCTACAGTTGCCTTTTTGGCAGATCTGAGTGTTGGGGTAAAATCCCAAATAATTATTGTGGGTCCCACTCAATGCCTCTTTTGCAGACCACAACACCCAAAAGGAGAGAATGCCCTGCCACAGAGGCAGGGTGGGATGGGGGGATGGGTGTGGGAGGGATACTGGGATCCATGGTGGTGGAAAATGGGCACTGGTGGAGAGATGGGTACTTGACCATTGTATAATCAAAACCCAAGCACAAAAATTTGTAAATCTACAAGTGTACCTCATGGTGTTCCACTAATAAAAATAAAATTAAAAATTGTGGGTCTAGGGTCGAAATATTGAATGAAGTCAAAGTGGAGAGAGACTAATGTGGAAATCATCTGCCTCACAGGTAAGGGGAGGGTGTGGGGTGGTGGTATACTGGAGTTTTTGGTGGTAGAAAATGAGCAGTGGTGAAGGGACGGGTGTTTCATCATTGTATGGCTGAGATTAAACTCAAAAGCTTTGTAACTGCTCTCACGGTGATTCAATAAATAAATTTACAGAAAAGAAAAAAAAAGTAAGGTGGAGTTCATGCCCAATTCAATCAGTCTAATCAATGGCTGAATAAATAGCAATACTCCTACATTAAAAATAAAAGGGGGCACATTGCCGTACAGAGAGAAGAAGGACCACATGGAGGGCTGGCTCCACAGTTCCCGGAGAAGAAACCAGGTTCCAAAAAGAGCCGAGATCACGGGGAAGTCCCAGATGGGGTAGGTGCCGCATCCTGCCTCCCCCAGATGGAACCCCGGTGACCAGAAGCCTCCAAAAGCATAGCTCGAGTATGCGGGAACTAGGACTTTTCCTCCAAACCGCGCGGCTGCTTATGCGGCCGCGCGACATCTCTATATATACAAAGTGATCAATAGGAAGTAAATCACCCAACGTTTCTCCCTGAAAATCAGAGTTAAGTTTGGAGCACGGCCACAGCCCCAGAAGCACAAGGACTTAATGCAGAACCTAGCAGCTTGGAGCAGAAAAGTGAAAGGACTATGCGTTAATCCAGGCCATTATGTCTGCCCGGAGGGGAAAGGGTGTTGCCCCATTCACCCTCTCCTCTCTGGAAAGAAAGATGGTGGCCGCATGGGAGCCTTGTGGACAGCAGGTATGAGCCGGGGGTGTGGGGGAGACTAAAACCTCATGGGAAGGGGAGCGTTCTGGTCCGTCCTTCACGCCTTACCGAGGTCACCAGTTGCCCCCCACGAGAGGCTCTCCAGCACGTCCACGGTCCCAGAAGCACAAGGACTTAATGCAGAACCCAGCAGCTTGGAGCAGAAAAGTGAACGGACTATGTGTTAATCCAGGCCATCATGTCTGCCCGGAGGGGAAAGGGTGTTGCCCGATTCGCCCTCTCCTCTCTGGAAAGAAGATGGCGGCCACATGGGTGCCTTGTGGAGAGCAGGTGTGAGCCGGGGGTGTGGGGGCGACTAAAACCTCATGGGAAGGGGGGCGTTCCAGTCCGTCCTTCACGCCCTACCGGGGTCACCAGTTGCCCCCCACGAGCGGCTCACCAGCACGGCCACGACTCCAGAGCACGGAAACCAATCTCTTAATTATCTGACTCTCAGTAGAAATACTTCCAGGGTTAATTAGCAAAATAGCGGAAATCCAAAACCAACATTTAATTATTGAACCAAGCTGTAGAAAGCGAATCACTTCACAATGCTTTCTCAGCATGTCTGATTTGGGGGGAGGGGGTAAATTCTAAATAATAGTGGTGCATCTTTTATTGAAACAATGAATCTAACCAAAGCAGATAGAGTGTCAACTAGAATTCATCTGCCTCGCAGGCATTGGGAGGGGTGGGGGGCGGGGTTTTATTGGGGTTCTTCGTGGTAAAAAATAAGTATTGGTAAAGGGAAAGGTGTTTGATATTTGCATGACTGAGACCTAAACCTGAAAACTTTGTAACTTTTCCCACAGTGATTCAATAAATAAATAAATTATAAAAAAAAAAGGAAGAAAAAGCACCTAATATCAGATTAGAACCCAGTAAAATACATTGAGGAACACAGAGAAATTCCCATGATATTGACTTCAGAGGTGGAGAAAATATCCAAATACCACACATTTGACAAAGGGTTAATATTCAAGATTTATAAAGCACTAATTTAACAAAAACCCTAACATCATGAAAAAAAAATCAAGAGTTTCTTAATGGACACTTCCCCAAAGAAAATAAAAAGATGGCCAATAGGTATGTGAAAAAGTGCTCCTCATCACTTATCACCAGGGAAATCAAAATGAAAATGAGATATTGCCTCACATCAATGAGAATGGCATACATCAAATAAGACAAAAATGACTGGAAGCTACCAGGGTTGGTAGCAATGTTTGGGGGGAAAAGGAGCCCTTATTTGCTGATGGTGGGAAAGTTGTCTGGTTTGACTTCTATGGAATCATAGGGAGAATTGTCAAAAAAAATTAAGGTTTGAGCTTCCATATGAGTCAGCAATTCCACATCTACCCCAAGATCTCAAAAAAGAAAATTCAAAAAGATTTATAGAACCCAATGTTCATTGGAATGTTTATTTACTATGGCCAAGTTCTGGAAATAACCCAAGTGCCCAAGAACAGTTGATAAAGAAGTTGTAGTATATGTTCACAACGGGGTCTTACTCAGCTACAAGAAAAGGAAAAATGAAGTACTGCATTTCGCTGCTACATGGATGGAACCAGACAGAGCTAAATTTGAGGGAAAGGGACAGATAACAGAATTACCTCTCCCTTATGTGGTATAGAGAACCATAGTAAGAGACTAAAATATGACCAGAAGTAACAGACCCTGATAGTTTGACCATACACCTAAGTTTGCTAAGTGGACAGTTAGTGAGAGAGGATGTAGAGATAGAGAATGGTGGAGGAAAGCTGGCTTTGCTGGTGGGTGTGATGTAGCAACATTGTATGTCTGAAACTATTATGAACATTATTGGAATGCACAGCACCTAGATAAAAAAAAAAGGAATTCAGTTTTAAAAAAGAATTGTCTGTGCAGTTTTGATTTCTGTAATCAAAGTAATTTAATTGAAGCCTCTTGTCCTTAAGTGCCTTCTACTTAAAAATAACAATTTAAGGAATTAGAGCATACCAGAGTTAAAAAGATACCTCAGGGGCTCTCTACGTCAGCAGTCTCCTTTGACTAGGGTGGAAATGAGACCCAACAGTTTAAAGTGCCTTGTTCTTGATACCTGCTAGCCGATTCTTACTTAATTCAATTCTCTTTCCTTCCCGAGTGGTTTCTAATACTGTATTGACCTAACCAACTGTAAACAATTTGTGTTAAGCTGAGTGGCCAATAATTTGTTCCAGATTGAAGCGATTTGCATTTATTCAGAGGCTCAGATTCACAGTATACTATTAGCATGCATGTGGGTTCACTCTTCTCTACCCCAGGGCAGAACTACAGAACTTTTGTTCAGGTTTATATTTTTTGTTTTCTATCTGTCTGTCTATCTATCTATCTACCTACCTACATATCTATCTGTGTGTATGTGTATATACTTATGTATATGTATATATGTATATATGCACTTCCAAGTATATGTATATATGCACATTTATGTATAATATATATATGAAACATCACTTAAAAAGTGAAAAGGTAGCAGCACTGGAGGTGTAGGTCAGTAGTAGAAGTTTGTATGGTAAGAACTTGGGTTCGACCTCAGAATGACAGAAGCAAACCAAACCAAACCAGCACATTTAATTCTCAATCGATAGAATTAAAACTTACTTTACCAAAAACCAAAAACAGAGCAATCAAACCAACAGAAACAACTAGCAGTTCTAAATTACTTGATCATTCAAGAGCTTGAACAACATTCCAGCATATGGTTTAAGCTCCGAGCTAGCTTTCCTCCATTTCTGACAAGTATGTATCTATTTCCTACATACCACAGAAATGATGGTAGGTAGGCAAGGAAAAGAGAGACTTTTTTCATTCCTCTAGTAAAGCCCACATTTCATCTTGACCAAATACTGTTCCGCTTGAAACTAGTTCACTAGCTCAGGCTGCAAAAGAGGCAGGGCTGTGCATTACAAGAAGAGCTTTTAATGAAATCCTCATGGCTACAGTTATTAACAGAAAGAAACTCACTGGAGGGAAAATATTCTACAACTGTGTGTTGCCTAGCAGACTTCTGAAGCCCAAAACTAGGTCAATTTTACTCTCTCTTCGTTTTAAATAAGAATTCAGTATTTTTCTTCTTGAGTAATTAAAATCGTTATCACTACCAAATGATAATGAACATAAAGCAATAATAATTCATATAAGAATTAAAGCATTTTTAAGAGTGCTGTTAATGACGGTTGGGGATTTCTCTATTTAGCTTTATTTTATCTACGGTTTATATTCTCAGTTAGGCCTAAGTCACTCCATACGTTTAATAAAACGACAAAAAAACTTTCCTTATCTGACAAAAGGGTTAGGAAAATGTTTTTATGATAGCACAAACAAAAGGAGTAAAATTGGTAGAGATGCACCCACAAATACAAATCTTCATTTTTTCCCCTGGATAACAAACTTGCAACGAGTCAATAGATATTTAGGGGAAAAAACTCGATATATAGAAACTGTACATAAAACAATGGTTACAAAGTTATTGTATATTTGTTTCCCTACTAGAGTCTGAAGCTGACACCAAAGGCATTGAAATATGCAAAATAATATCGAAATTTTAATTTTGTTAAACATTCCTGACTACACCACATGTGTGCATTGAAAAAAAATTTAAACGGTTTGATGCTAAATATAAATAGTAACCTCTATGTTTCTGTTGAACAGTCTGTCTTATAAAGAGCCAATTTTAAATTTTAGAGAGCATGAACACCCTTTTGAAAATGTTACACACTTCCAGTGGCTATCTAGTTTTAGCAGTTTTTGGAAAACATTCAACTTGAACAAAATAGAAACATTTACAGTATTGACTCACGTCTCCATGATTCAAAGAAGTAAAAATTCCCAACAAAACCCACATGAGTGAAGTTCTTACCAAGCCATATGGAGTTATGAAAAATTCCATCTTTGATTCCCCATCCGTGAGCCTCTTCCCACAGCAAGACAAGTAAGTAAATTAAGATGACCATTTCTCAGTTGTAGAGAAAGAAGAGCCTTTTAAGGGCTGCTCCGGATAAGTTCTCAGAGCAGTGGTTGCAGTGTGACTGTAACATCTGGTTTCCACATCTTTTAAATAGTTTTTTTCAACTCTGAGGTCAGCAAGCTCTCTCCAATGGCAATCTTTGCTGCAGTTACACAATTAATTCAGTGTCTGAGGCAAACTCTCTGACTCATTTGCATTGGCAACCAAAACGAAGGATATTGAATGATCATCTACATTTTAAAATTCCTTACTTGGAAAGTTCATTTATTCTCTCTGTCACAGATACTTTTCTGTTAAGAAGGTTGTGTAATTTTGGCGCAGAGTCAGTGGTGATTTAAAAAAAAATAAATTGGTCGAAATATTAAAAGAAGCTCTGAATGCCTTTTTAGCAGCCAGTTAATTATGTCATATGACATTTGAAGTTAAGAACTAATCTGAAATATGGTTCTGTTGATGATACATTTGTTTTCCCTAAATACTGTTAAGCTTGAATAGAAGTTTTAAAACAAAAATTGGGTACAGTGTGACAAATCTTATTTTCTTCTCTCTCTCTCTCTCTCTCTCTCTCTCTCTCTCTCTCTCTCTCTCTTTCCAGAAAACTCCATGCTTTTTTATTTTTTGGACCATAAATTTTGGAGTGGGGGGCGGATCATAGCCAAGGTCCTCAGAGCATACTCCTGGCTCTCTGCTCAGAGATCACTCCAGGTAGGGCTTATGAGACCATATGGAGTGCTGAGGATTGGACCTGGTTCATCCACTTGAAAGACAACAGCCTACCTGCTATGCTACCTCTCTGGACTTAAAGCCCCAACCTTTTACCTAGAATCCTTTGTTTTCTGATACAGGACTTTACCCTTTTCAGCCCTAGTCTTGAGGTGGGGTCTTTAACAGGCCTAACTTTACTGTGGTCACTAGGTAAATCTATCAACTTCTTAAGAACTGGTACTTAGTAGGAATCTTGTCACTGTGTGGGGTTGGGGGATAGGTCAGGGAAAGGACTGCTAGGACACTGAGAGAGGGAAGTGGTCACTCTGGATAAGGACTGGGTACTGAAAGGGAGTGAAATGATATGTATGATACCCTATCAGTAACAGTATTGCAAACTATAGTGCCTAAAAGGGAAAAACAACAAAAAAAGTGCCTGCACAGAGACAGACTGGGAGCCGAGAGGGAAACTGAGGACATTAATGCAGGACAGTGGACACCAGAGAAGGGGTTGGTGTTGTACATTTTACGCCTGGAGCCCAAACATGAATAACTTTTAATTGAATAACCATTTATTATTATTATTATTTTGCTTTTTTTTTTTGATCACACTCGGTGATGCACAGAGGTTACTCTTGGCTCATGTACTCAGGAATTACTCCTAACGGTGCTCAAGGCACCATATGGGATGCTGGAATGGAACCTGGGTTGGCCACATGCAAGGCAAATGCCCTAGCCGCTCCAGCCCCTCAACTTTTTTTTTTCTTTTTGGGTCACACCCAGCGATGCACAGGAGTTACTCCTGGTTCATGCACTCAGGAATTACTCCTGGTGTTGCTCAGGGGACCATATGGGATGCTGGGAATCAAACCTAGGTTGGCTGCGTGGAAGGCAAATGCCCTACCCACTATGCTATTGCTCCAGCCCCACCCCTCCCCATTTTTTAAGAATTGATTCAATTAAAAATTTTTTTAAAGTAGTTTGATTTCAAGGCCTATGGACATTTCAGGAACATTAAATATCTAGTTATAACAGATTTCTTCAGACCTCATATCTTTTTGTTGTTGTTGTTTGTTGTTGTTGTTTGTTCTGGTTATTCCTGACTCTACACTCTGAAATTACTCATGGCGGGTTGAAGGGACCATATGGGATGCCAGGGTTGATTGTAGCACTCTGCCCCCTATATCCTTAATGTTTTGAGAGAAAAGTTGGTGTTGTCAAGTTAAATAAAAAATATGGTTTCAGGAGACAGAGATATAGTATAAGAGGAAAGTACTAGCCTTTCATGCAACTGACACCAGTTCAATCCCTGACACCGTATATGGTTCCTGAAGTACCACCAGGAGTGATCTCTGACCCCAGAGTCAGAAATAGGCCTTGAGCACAGCTGGTGGGGTCAAATGAACAATGGATTGTATCTTTCTCAAACCAGTCTTATTTTTAAAAAGATGATCAAGGGGCCGTCTTTACAGCACACAGCAGCAGAGAAGAAAGGCCGCTGGGAGGCTCCACAGCTCCCGGAGAATGCTCCAGATCCCAAATAGAGCCGAGATCACCGGGAAGTCCCAGATGGGGTAGGTGCTGCATCCTGCCTCCTCCAGAGGGAACCCCGGTGACCATGAGCCTCTACAAGCATAGCTCGGGCATGCAGGATAGAAAGTAAATCATCCAACTTTTCTCCCTGAAAATCAGGCTTAACTCTTTTACAAACCACAACACCCAATAGGAGAGAGAGAACAAAAAAGGAATGCCGTGCCACAGAGGCAGAGTGGGATGGGGGAGTGGGGGGGGTGGGAGGGATACTGGGATCCGTGGTGGTGGGAAATGATCATTGGTGGAGGGATAGGGTATTCAAAATAAATAAATAAATAAATAAATAAAGATGAACAAGGGCCAGAATGATAGCAGTGGGTGGGGCTCTTGCCTTGCATGAGGCCATCTTGGGGTTGATGCCTAGCACACGTGTATTTATTTTCCACTGAGCCAAGCAGGAGTGATTCCTAAGTGCAGAGCCAGGAGTAAGCCCTGAGCACTGCCAGGTATCAGAAAGAAAGAAGGAAGGCAGGGAGGGAAGGAAGGAGGGAGGGAGGGAGGGAAGGAGGGAGGGAGGGAGGAAGGAAGGAGAAAAAAGGGAAGAAAGAAAGGGAGAGAGAGAGAAGAGAGAGAAGGAAAAAGATCATCAGAATAATAAGTAATCACCACCATAGTGAACTCATGCTTATAATATACCAGATGTGACTCTCTTTTTGTGCTGGGCCCTTAGACAACATCTGGTTATAGTCTGTCTGAACCAATGAGAGTACTTCCTATTGACTGAGTCAAGTGAGACAGCTTTTGCCATTCACACTTGGCTACCTAAATCCCTACTTTTGCGGCCAAACATCTTCCCATTTGCTCCTATTATGTACTTTCTTTCTTTCTCTCTCTCCCTTTCTTTCTTTCTTTCTTTCTTTCTTTCTTTCTTTCTTTCTTTCTTTCTTTCTTTCTTTCTTTCTTTCTTTTTGGGTCACACCTGGCAATGCACAGGGGTTACTCCTGGCTCTGCACTCAGCAACTACTCCTGACAGTGCTCAGGGGGTTCCATATGAGATGCTGGGAATCGAACCTGGGTTGGCTGCATGCAAGGCAAACACTCTACCTGCTGTGATATTGCTCCAGCCTTCTTTTTTTTTTCTAATGCTTCTTTGGTGCCTCCAGTTGATATTAAAATCTTTGGGAAAAGTCAGCTTTCTGGGCTGGTCTGAGGTTTACCTTAAAAGCCATTGTCATCTTTGATTAAAGGCTTATCCCAGTCTAATCAGTAACTCCTGAAGGAGCAGTTGTGGGGCTATAAGTTGAGGGCACTGGCTTGATTGGATGCTCCTAGAGGTATGCAGGAAGTTCACTGGGCTCAAAAGTTCTAATTTGGACTTACTGCAAGTGAGAAATAATGGATATACACAGGGTATCCTCAGGACCAAAGAATTTAAGTTTGTTGTGGAAAAGGAGGTATTCAGATGAGTGGTTTTCAATAACCAATTCATGAAATTTCCTGCTAGTGCTTGAAAAAGGATTTAGCTGCTTAGTATATGGTAAGCCTACATAGTGTGGTAGTATAATTATAAATATTGGTGTATAAATGCTCTTATTACAAATAATCATTATAATCTTTTCTTAGTGGGTTATAGCTAGTTTTCTTATTTTCACAGGTATGAATGCATCAAAAAAAGTTGAAAACAGGGACTGGGAGATAGTACAATGGTTAGGATGCATACCTAGCATGTGGATGAAGGCTCAATCCGTGACACCACATGGCCCAAACAGCGTTCTCAGGCACTTGAACTGAACAGTAGTGTGGCTGACTGAGAATTCTTAGTTGGGCCCTGGACTTTCTAGCACTTTCTACACTGCCACCCCGCTATTATTGAAAACAGCCGATCTAGATCAAGCGCCTATGACTATGGAGAAGACAGGCATGGTCAGCAGCATTGGAATAAACAGTTGAGAGAAATAAACCATGGAACTCCTCAGGAAAGTGGAATTATGTGAGTATTTTAAGTTTGTGGTTTAAGAAGTAAATATAACTTGACTTGTGCAAGGCTCAGCAATCCCCTGTCCTGCCTGGCCACTTTCCCTGGCCATAGCCTCTCTCTGTCTCCAAAAGAAGTGATTTCCCAGTACTTATCATGTAGAAAACAGTACTCTAAGGGACCTAGAAATAGTCCCAAGGGCTGGAGCATATGTTTTGCAGGCAGAAGCCAGGTTTGAGTTCCAGCACCACATGGTACCCCAGCACTGCAGAAATGACCCCTAGTCTTCGATGAGAATAGCTGTTTACAATGCTAAGTGTACCCCCTAAAAAAACCAACAACAAATCAAAACACTATCAGAAAAGGCTTGGAAAGTAATATTTGCTTAAGTCAAATAACAACAGATACTCCTCTATGTCTATTTACATTTCGATGAAGCTACAAATATATCCAGATGTTCGTGTTCAATTCATTTAATATTACATTGAATGAAAAGCTTTGATGAATGAATACAACCTCTGGTGCTAGATATCTCCCTTCTCGCAAGTCCTATGAAGGCAATAGGTATTGCTCCTCAACTGTGGACAGTGTTTAAGAACCGATTCCTCCTTTTCTTCCAAGGAAAACAAAACCAGCCTGCCCACTCAGGTGTGCTCTGATTTTAAGGGGGTTCAGTGTTATCATGGAAGAAATGAGGGGAATGAGGTTTTCCTGTGCAAAAGATGTGGTGGGTACAGGTAAACATCAAAGAGAATTCCTTCTTCCCTCCCTCCCTCCCTCCCTCCCTCCCTCCCTCCCTCCCTCCCTCCCTCCCT